ACAAATAACTTGTTGAGTGCAATCAAGTTGGTTTTGACCCATAGTGACCCTGTATAGGATTTCCTAGGAGTAGCTGGTAGGTTCCAACCACTGACTTTGTGGTTAGCAATCCAGTGCTTATCCTACAGTGCTACACCTGGACTTGTATGTAAATAAGAAGGGAATATTGAAATATATTTTAAATATACATTTCAAAATTATAAGTCTTTTCAATCACTATCTTGGCTTTGGAAGGATTTTTAAATCCCCTTAAAACGTGTGCAAATTTTGTTTAATTACAGGATTTGTGACACATCTGAACCCCTATTTTCTTCTAAATCTTCATCTATTATGTGCCGTATAAGGAGCTCTGGTGATACAATGGTTAATTAAGCATTAACCTGCTAACTGACAGAGTATTGTTAAATGCTGTCGAGTCAGTTTCGACTCAGTAGGCATCCTGTTTCTGAGGAGTGCCTGGTGGATTTGAACTGCCAACTTTGCAGTTCAAACTGACTTTGCAGTCGAGTGCTTATCCTGTAGCGTCAGAACTCCAGCTGAAAGATTTCTGTTCACCAGCTCTGCTCTGTGGAAAAAAGGATCCTGTGATCTGCTCCTGGAGTAAAGATTTCAGTTTAGGTAACCCTGTGGGGTAATTCTCTACCCCTATAGGCTCTCGTTGTAAGTGGGAATTGACTTGATGATTCCTAAAAACCACAGTGCTCGTTAATACTATTGTTTCTATTTACCATACAATTGTAATAAAAAGAGTTATTAAATGGGAAAGTCTTAAATTTCACCATTCTCTTACTATGACCTTCTAGTTTACCCAAGATATAAACATCTCTTTTTCCTTGATCTTTAATCTCTATTTGTCCCTCCTTTTTTAATTTTCTACATGGTACAACTTAGACTGAATCATCATTTCAACTCTCATGCTTTTGTAACACAGACCTTGCAAAGTCTGTGCCCAACCATAGATTATTCTAAATGTGTACCTTTTCTGTGTCCATACTATACTCACCTTTGTAGATTGATGTCACATTTAAAAATCCATCCTCAAAAATGTCTGTCTTGTACTTTTACTTTTCTGTTAATGTTTTTCTCTCTCTCTCTCTCATTCTTCATAGTAGCTGTTTCAGGCCTTTTAATGCTTTCTACCTTATTCTCACCCAGAAAATGACCTGACTTTCAGTTTTCCGGAAATATAAAAACTTATTTGTGTCTTTTTCTCTTTTGTGACACAGTGATCCCGCATCTTGTGTAAGAAATGACCATTCATTTTCTATATCAGTATCCCATGCCTTTTCTCTTCTTCCTCCGCATTCCTTAAGTCTTTGCTCCATTGAGTATTTATGTCTTCTGATTTTTAATAATGAACTATTTTGGAAAATGTCAAACCCATAAACAAAATTAGAGACTAGTGTAATGAACCTTCATGAATCCATTACACAGCATCAGCAGTTATTAACTCAGTCTTGCTTTATATGTATCCGCCCAGTCTCCCTAACCAATTTATTTTTAAGCAAATTCCAAACATCATTTCACTTATCCCAAACATTTCACCTATAATGTTTTTCCAGATCTACATGCGATCTATAAATTATAATTTGATGATGTTACATTTTTTGTTGTGTCTTTTTAATCTATAGGTGTTTTATTTCCATCTCTTTCTTTTTCTCCTTGGAATTTGTTGAAGAAATTAGTAATTTGTTCTGTAGGATTTTTCATAATAAGGATGTTGGTGATTATATTCCCATGGTATCTTTAACATCTTTCTCTGCCCTCTATTTGTTGTTGTTGTTAAGTATTATGGAGTCGGCTCCGACTCATTGTGAATCCTGCACAGAGTTTCCGAGGTTGTAAATCTTGAAGGGAGCAGAAAGCCTCCTCTTTCTCCCGCAGAACAGCTGGTAGCGTCAAACTGCCGACTCTGAGGTTAGCAGCCCAATTAGTAACCACTACGCTGCCCTCTATAATTTATAGCAAACTGGAACCAGAGGCTTGATCAGATTCAGATTTGATATTTTTTGGCCTGAATACTTAATAGCTCAAGGAGCTCTGGTAGTGTAGTGATTATGAGTTGGGCTGCTAACTTCAAGGTCAGCAGTTCAAAACTGTCAGTTCCGCGAGAAAAAGATGAGACTTTCTGCTCCTGTAAAGATTTACAGCCTCGAAAACCCTAAGCAGGGTTGCTATGAGTTGGAGCTGACTTCACAGCACACCACCACCACCACCACCACAGCTTCGTAGGTTAGACTCCTGGTGTGGTGCTGTAGCATCAGCACTGGACTGCGAACCACAATGTCAGCAGTTCAAACCCACCAGCTGCTTCTTTGAAGCCCTTTACCCAGGGTCACTATGAGTCGTATGGACTAGACAGTGCTTAACAACCACAACTACTTCATAGCTCATGTAGTGTTATTTCATCAAGGGATATATTATGTCTGGTTGGCTCTGTTATGTTAACAACCTTGGTTAATTAGGAGCTGAAAATGTTAAGTCCCATCAAGTGGGTTCTGACTCATAGCGACCCTTTATAGGGTTTCTGAGGAGCACCTGGTGGGTTTGAACTACTGACCAACAACCATAGAAGTTGTTTTTTAACATTTCCGTGTACTTTCTTTTTCATCTCTTTCAGTAGCCACACTTCTTAAAGTACAAGTTTGTACTTCCTAAAGTTTGAATCTCTACATCATGTCTTTGTACACATCATCCCATTTAGCTCTGGTTTCCTGGTTTCTGCATATTAAACAGGGCCCTAACCATGCTGAAGGAATCCTGGTGTGGCACTGTGGGTAAATGCGCCAGACTTCAGAGCCATTTGAACTGCAAGGTTGGTGGTTCAAGCTCACCAGCTGCTCCTCGGAAAACCCTGTAAAGGGTTGCTATGGGTCAGAACCGACTCTACGGCACTTAACAACAACCATGCTGAGTAGTGGATTGTTTCAGACCTTTGCTTATAGTTGAGCAACCTTGGATATTGTTGATTGCTTTTCCTTCTTGAAATACTCCCTTGGCTTCTGTGATGCTCTTTATACCCCCCCCCCTTTTTTGGGGGGGGGGCATTTACCTCTTTACTCTTTAACAGCTTCTTCTTAACCTCAATTGTGGACTCATCTGCTCCCTGTGCTTTGAGTGTTGTGTGGCTCTACCTGGCTCTTCTTGTTGACATTGGTCATCTCGTTCACTGTCATGACTTCAGCTAACCATGGATAAGCATTGGAGCGCAAGGTCATTTGAATTGCAAGGTTCTTATTCAAATTCACTAGCCATTTGTTGGAAAGCAGTACAGGGTCCATATGAGTCGGAACCAACTTACTTGATAGCACTTGACAGCAACAACAGCAAGCCATTAACTGGAGTCCTGCTAGTGAAAGACAGAGATTCGAATCCACTAGCCACTCTTCAGAAACCCTATACACAGCCGCTTGACGGCACTTAACAGTTATCTACCAAAACATTTTTGTAGGTAGTTCTCTTCAGAGCTGACTTGTTTGTACAATTTCCTACTAGATATCCCACAGACACTTTGGAATCAACATATCTAACATAGGATTAATCGTACATTCCCTTATCATACATAAGAGTTTTCTATTCAATTTAATTTTAAGCCAGAAAGATATGGAAGTCTGCTTCTATAAAGACTTAGAGCCTTGGAAAGCCTGTGGGGCAATTCTGCTCTTACCTATAGAGTTCTATGGATTGGAATTGACTTGATGGACAATGGCTGTTGCTTTTGTTTTTCCTGTAATACTTCCTGGAATCTAGTGGAAATTCTAACTAGCTGTTTTTTGCCCAATGTGATAAGACAGACTTTTCTTATTGTTAAGTGTTGTTAAATTCTAATTCAAAGTAACCCCATATAGGGTTTCCCAGGAGCTGGTGAGCTTGAACTGCTGACCCTGCGGTTCAAATCGACTTTACAGTCCAGCACATTAACCCACAGTGCCACACCAGATTAGGAATTGAAACCAGGTCAACTGCTTACAGGACAACTATGCTCACCACTATACCACCAACTCTTTTACCTCCATTTACTCTCATTGATTGATACTGATATCGATTAATAAATATTCTACACAATTATTTTAGATATTGTATATAAATTGATTTTATGTGGTTCAAATTATTTTTAAAAACCCCACAAAACTCTGAAATGCTATTAAATAATATTATCCAAAAGCTACATTAGGGAAGTAGGTTACTATGTGAGCACATAGAATCTAGAGCAGTCCATTCAGTTACTTGTTTTAAAAAAAACATGCTTCTAAGGGACATAAAAGAAATTGAAATAATACTAAAATGGTTTCTTAAGTCCATTGGTTAAGAGGGCGAAAGAAAGATTGTGAAGTGTAGTTATTTACATTATAAATAATGTCAGCCATTTAAGGTTATTGGAGGAGTCCTGGTGTGGCACTGCAGGATAAAGCACTGGGACTGCAAGGTTGGTTTGAACCACAAGGTGGGCGGGTCAAATCCACTAGCCACTTTAGAAACTCTATGCAGGATCACTATGAGTCAGAACCAACTCGTGATGGCACTTAACAACAGCGTTATTTTATTGGTGGTTTACATATAACCTGATGATGGTCACAGCTTGATTTGTATACAGTGTATGAAATCTGTTTTACTTTTTTTCAGGTTAGACTTTTTGGTAAATTAGAAAATTTGGTTTTTGTTTCTATGAAGATACATAGTCTTCTAGAGAAATTATCTGTTAACCGAAGTGAAATTGATATTAGTGTATCTTGCATGTGATGTGGTTGAGAGTGGGTAAACAAACATTAAATTTAAAAATAGTGTTATAAATTTATTAATAGCTCAATAAACTAGTAAAATAATTTAAAATAGAATACTGTGTATTTTGGAATTGAGTTCCACAGTAGATTGAAAACATGTAATATTTATATTAACATTACAGTATTCATCATCTTTGAAAATGTGTATTATAAATAATAATTTAAATTTTAAGTGAAAGAAATAATCTTTTTGTCTTTCTCTTTTCTCTTTTTCTTTAGGTGGAATGAACCTTACTTGTTGAATATCTTCTGGTTACTGGTTGGATTAACTTGTACAAGGATCATTTTCCCCTGCGTGGAAGCCACTTAGTGGCATATTTAATTATAAATCCAGGAATCATAAAGCTTTTAATTTCCCAAAGGAGGGAGATACCACTATATCAAATAAGCTTGACGTTACAGCCAAAATGGTGCTGTCCCAGAGACAACGAGATGAACTGTAAGTTATTCTGTTTTGTGCTTAGAAACAAAACCATAACCAAACATTTCCATAAGGAACAATGTAGTAAATTAAAAATATAACTCTGGAAGATTAAAGCAGTTGTGTACTTTTGAGACAGTTCTGACTCACCCTATTATAGACAGTATAAAACTGCCCCATAGAATTTCCTAGGTTGAAATCTTTACAGGAGCAAATCACCAGGTCTTTTCTCTTGTAGAGCAGCCTGGTGGGTTTGAACAGGTAACCTTTCTTTCCCTTAACATCCAAGCCAAGCTCTTAACCATGGTACCACCAACTGCCCTTTTAAGTTGTTGTTTCCAGTATTTAAATACTGGTTTGGGCAGTTTGGTTTGATTTTAAAGCTGAGTCTGTCTTTGACATAGCTTTATTTAGCCTTGCCCCCCAACCCCCCAAGTAGTATATAAGTTTAAAGCAAAATAGGTAAGTTACTTGGAATAAGTTTTATCTTAAGATTTTCTTTGAAATACAGTATGTTTAGTATATGAAGATGGTGGTGGTAGTGAGCTGTGGAGTCAGTTGACTCATAACAACCCTGCATAGGGTTTCCGAGGCTGTAAATCACTACAGGAGCAGAAAGCCTCATCTTCCGTGTAATGGCTGGTAGTTTCAAACTGCTAACCTTGAGGTTAGCAGCCTGACTCATAACCACTCCTCTACCAGAACTCCTTAGTATAGGAAGATAGGTATTTTTAAATGTTTTAGTCTGGAATTCATATGTTAGAAAAGTGGAGTTCTTCTTCTGTGGCACTGTAGGATAAGCACTGGACTGTTAATGCTAACCTCTAGGTTGGCTGTTCAAACCTACCAGCTGCTTCTTGCAAACCCTAAACAGGGTTGCCTTGAGTCAAGACCAACTTGACAGCATTTTTGCCAAGTTATATTTCTTTATCTTTTATCATCCAGTGGCTATTGCAAGATTTAAATTTTATGAAGTGACTAATTTTGATGGTTAATACAACTACATTAATGAGAGGGGCATGAAATGGCTTGGCTACTATTGTATTATAGCCTTTGTTTTTTATAGGTGAAGAATATGTGTAAATAAAATGTTGATTGATTTTCTTTTAAGCAAAGAAACTATATTTCATTAGTATTATAAGTTGCCATAGAAAGGTTTTAGATCAGCCTGATGGTTCTCTGCTTCTCTCCCTAGGTATCCACAGCATTCTTTATTTTATTTTCATCTTCACTAAAATCTATTATTTTGCTTCCATTTTCTCTGTTGAGGAGGAGGTTTGTTAGACTGAAAATGAATAAACAAGAGTCAGGTTTGTTAGACTGTAAATGAACCTTTACTTTAAATGAATTCAGCTTTTCTGTCCCAATACCAATTATGCCCCTGTTTATTGAAAGAATGAGATAAAAGAAAGAGAAGGTATATGCAAGTGAATTGGACATTAACTTTTAAATTATTCCTTTAAAAATTATTATTATTGACTCAGCCTAAAAGGAACAAATTAGGTTAGGTTACTTTCCCTTTAAGAAATCAAACGATGTATTGCAGTCTGCTGCACAAGACATCTTTACAGTGTTGAAGAGCAGAGATGTCAGTTTGAGGACTAAGGTGAGCCTGACGCAACCCATGGTATTTTCGGTAACCTCATATGTATGTGGAAGCTGGACAGTGAATAAGAAACACTGTAGAAGAATCGATACATTTGAGTTGTGATGTTAGAGGAGAATATTGAAATTACCATGGACTGCCAAAAGAACAAAGAGACCTGTGTTGGAAGAAGTACAACCAGAGTGCGGTTTGGAAAGCATGATGGACAGACTTCATCTGTCATACTTTGGACATATTGTCAGGAGGGACCAGTCACTGGAGAAGGATAGCATGTTTGGTAAAGTGGAGGGTTGGAGAAAAAGAGGAAGACCCCCAATGAGATGGATTACAAACGATGCAACGATTGTGAAATTGACCCAGGATTGGGCAATGTTTCATTTTGTTTGTTGTACGTAGGGTCACTATGAGTTGATACAACTCATACACTATGAGTTGATACGAACTCTATGGCACCTAACAACAAGATTTAAAATTTATTCTTCAATGAAAGTAATTTGTACCTGACAAATAGAAAAGTCACATCAAACTATATAAAAAGTTTTTTCTTTAATCTCTACTTGGCTCCTAATCTTTCTCAGAACAATCCTGACATTTCATTTTTTGGACATATTGCTAATCTGATGTATAGAATGAGTGCTGTACACACAGTACAGGCAGTCTCTGGATTACGAATGAGTTTCCTTCCTAAGTCATTCTTTAAGGTGAATTTGTATATAGATTCTTATTTATAACATTGTTTGTGTTAGTATATAATATATTGTATTCCTTTCTGTGCACAAAAATCATTAAACACTTCCAGATACATAAAACCATTTTTAAAAACATCTTTATACAATAATAATAGTAATGTTTTAATGTATATCACAAAGAGTAATGTTCTTAATATTATTACAAATCATTGTATATATCTTGAGTTTTTAATATAATATGCTTTGGGAGGATGGTAAATATGTCTGTAAATTAGACTTTGGTAACCCAGGGTACCCAGGTACAGCCTGTCTATTGAGTTTCTGAAAACTAAACAGGAATGTAGTGGATTACACATTGGGCTGGTAATCACAAAGTCAACAGTTAAATTCAACAGCATTTCTATGAGAAAGATATGTGCTGTGGAGTGGATTCTAACTCATAGCAACCCTGTACAGGGTTTCCAAGGCTGTAAATCTTTATGGGAGCAGAAAGCTTCATCTTTCTCCCGCGGAACAGCTGGTAGTTTCAAACTGTTGACCTTAAGGTTCGCATCCTGATTCATAACCACTACGCAACCAGAGCTCCTTATAAGTTTGATATAATTTAATAAAAAATACTGGAATTTAGAGTATAAGACATGATTTAGTATTTTTAATAGAATGAATTCATTACTTTGAGGTGAGTTACTATATAAGCACCAGATTGCAAAGCCATTTGAACTGCGAAATTGCCAGTTCAAGCTCACCAGCTGCTCCTTGGACACCCTGTACAGGGTCGCTATGGGTAGGAACCAACTCAACAGCACTTAACAACAATAACAACTATATGAAAGGGCATCAGAAAGTTTGTGGGAAGATCTATTATCTTTTCTTTTTTATTGTGAATTGAGTGAAGGTTTACAGAGCAGATCATCAGTTTTATGTTTAACAAATCATATGCTTCATTTCAGTTGCAACCCCTCAATGTAGCATCAGTTATCCTACTTCCCAACCCTTCTGCATTTTGTATGTAGCTACATTACTGTCCTTTTGACCTTGAATGGTTGACCATTCTGTGATGTGAATACCTCACTGGTAGTGTTGTCCCCTCCTTTATACCTATATACTTACTACTTAGCTGAAAATTGGACCACAAGGGTGAATTAAGTTCCAGACCTGAAGGGTAACTGAGAGCCATCGTCTCAGGTTCCTCTAGTCTGTTTCTGAACAGTAAACTGGGTTTTTCCCATTATCTTTTAATTCTATTTTCCACTGATGTTTTGAGGCTCCCTCATAGATTAATTTTTCAAATTTTCTTGGTTTTTGAACAAGTATAGGATAGTGTATAGAGAAATAAACACTTTATGGAGCATATAGTCTGTGTTTAGGTAGTAGAATGTTAGGAGTTGGATTTTGTCTCCATATCCTAATCTTCATACCATTGAATGTGACCTTTTTTTGGAAGTTAAGGGTCATTGCAGATGTAATTAAGGGGGTTAGTGCCAGTGTCCTTAAAAGAAGACAAAAGACAGAATAAAGGCCAATATAAAGACAGAGGAAGGATGGTCATGTGCAGAAGGAAGCAGAGATGAGAGTTATACTGTCACAAACCAAGGAATGTATGGGATACCGAAGTTATGTGAGACAAGAAAGACCTCCTTAGAGTCTTCAGAGAGAAAGTGGTTTTTCAGACATCCTGAATTCATGTTCTGTGAAAGAATAAATTTCTCTTGTTTGACACTACATAACCAGTTGTCATCCATGGCAAACCCCAGGTGAGTCAGCATAGGTTTAAACCATCTCTATAACCAGCAAACTGGACACATTGCTGTTAAGTCACTTCTGACTCATAGAGATCCTGTAAGACAAAGTAGAACTGCCCAATAGGGTTTCTAAGGGTCCGCAGGGTAAGCACTGGACTGCAAACCCCACAAGGCTGGTGGTTTGAACTTACCAGCCTCTCCACAAAAAATAAATATAAATAAAAGAGGCTATCTTCTTCTAGAAAGATTTACAACCTCAGAAACCCTATAGAAAGTCACTGAGTCGGAACCAACTTGATGGCACTTCGTAAAAACAGTATTTACAGAAGCTGGCTGCCACATCTTTCTCTGAAGTAACAACTGGTGGATTCAGATGGCAGATCTTTCAGTTAGCAGCTGAGTATGTAACAGCTGGGCAACAAGGGCTCCTTTAAACCACATATTTTTGTGTTAATTTCTAGGAAACTAAAAGTTGGTAGAATTGTAATTATCTTCTTAGAGGACATCTTGGCAGTATTTGTTAAAATTTAAAATTATTGGTGACTTCCAGTAATTTCAGTTCTTACAATATAACAAACACATCACAATTCCTAGATACTGGGACTAATGAAAGAGATTACCTTAGCACCCAGGTTCCGCATGTTAGATGTTAAATATTAACAGACTTTGAATGTATAATTAGAACATCTAGGATTATTTGAAATTTGGTAATTAGGGAAAAAATTACAAGTAATATTTTTAATGTAATAAAATACACAAAAGGGTGAGGGATGGATATTTCTGATGCCACCTGTAGCAACCTAGTGTTGTCATTTTGGTATATATTCCCTTCATATTTTCTAGTGTCACTGCTTTCTTTCTTTTTTCAAGTTTTAGTAGTTTTACTGAGAGTGTCTGCAGACTTCCTCATGCTACCATTCCTAAAATGCATCCTCCTCAGTTTTTAATGTATGTCTTAAAATATAATCATGCAGGACCCTT